ATACCTGGGCGGGGTGTAACATTTGTGTAACGGTTATGACTAAAAAAGAATCAGATAGCATCATAAAAGAACCCTTGTCTCAGCAAGAACACTTCATATTAGACCTGATTGGTTGTGGTGTTGGAAGCCAACTTTTGAGGACACTTCATGGTCACTTACAGTTTCTGTTTGGCAGGTATAGTCCAATCTGTCCTACTATGGATGGGCAACTCCCCTGGCCAAATCCCTTTGAAACATCATGGGGGTAGAAATTTATCTTTTTTTTTAAAGAATGAAGACTTGGCTAAGTACAGGTCACAACAAAACAAGATGAATAGACATGGTTAACAGATAAACAATAACTCCATGGAAACATTTAAATCAAAAGGAAAACATTTGGAGTTTTAGTGCCATAATCCTGCCTTGTATAAGCCTCAGCCGATGTACACTGAAAACATAAAAAGCAAGGAATCGATCCTCAATGTGCAACATGAACTTGCTTTCAGTGCAAGGAGTTGTACAATGCTTTAGGAAATTCATGTTACATTTTCTTTTGTAATTATTCTGTTCCTGCACCTTTGTTATGCGGGTCATACCTCAGGTCACCTATTGTTCCAGGCATGCAATTGACCACTGTCCAATTATCAAATTAGAGAGTCTGGTCGGGCTACCCTGACATGGGTGCACTGGCACTGGCTCAATAGCCCGAAAAAATATCCTATCAGAAAATCTCATGACATTGTAATGACTGTGTCAGATGGCCTGGGTTCACACGCTGAGAACCATGTCTTGGCCAAATCTTTCTATCCCACAACTAGTTTGTAGTGTCATGATTAGATTAGATTTAGATTATGAACAAAAAATTAATGATGAGAATCTTTACAGGATTTGTAATAAGTCTAAATTACAATTTAATTGGAAGTGCTTGCCCAAGGCCTAGAGTCAATTCTATATTGCTATATTCCACATTACAAATTGTAACCATTTCGAAAAAAAAACACAATGTTTCTAGATAATTTCTAAGTATGATTTTAAAAAGTAGTAAAATTTTTAATTGTTACAATATTTGTGAAACATCTCAAATAGGTTATATATATAATGAAAAGAGCTGTTCATTCAGTTTGGATATTTCCCAAAAATTTAGGAACAGAACGTAAAATGCTTGTGTAACAGTGCTAACTGACCATGCTAAATGGTCGTGCGACCTTTTAGTGTAATGGTTAGCGTTGGTGACCGCCAAGCGGACAACTCGGGTTCGATTCCCGGTTGTGACATGTTCGCCCCTTTCGGTTTTTACAGTGGTTCCCATGCCGGCCCTGTGAGTACTGGCACTGAGGATAAGTGTGGCAGCTCCAGGGATGTCGGACTCGGAAGATTCGAGGACGAATCTTGAAAGAAAAGGGGGAGTAGTGTAACAGTGCTAACTGACCATGCTAAAGGGTCGTGCGACCTTTTAGTGTAATGGTTAGCGTTGGTGACCGCCAAGCGGACAACTCGGGTTCGATTCCCGGTTGTGACATGCTCGCCCCTTTCGGTTTTTACAGGCCCCTTTCGGTTTTTACACTTGTACAGCGCAGGATGCACATGTATGATAGCAGACCAGGTAGCCTGGGTGTAAGAAACAGGGGCGAGCTGTAGCGCCTATAACCCCCCCACTGTTACATGGGTACCAGACTGCTGCCAGGCTAGCTCCTTGGCTCCTGGAGGGCCAACATTTGCCCAAGGAAATGTCACCATAGAGTGATAATAGACATCCCTCAACAAACCTATGAATTACATTGTGAAGGCTTGTTATCCCCTAGACACAAAGAACACAGTTTCTTTATAAAAATGGGTGACAAAAGGGGAGGGGAGGTGATTATGATAAAATTAACAAGTTCTAACTTCCAAGCAACAACTTGAAGTTAGTCTCCAGTCAGAATCTGATCAATGTTAGACCTGTTTACAACTGCAGAAAGGGGATGCTTTAGCTTCCGAAGCAAAAGCATTCATTGAGTTATCAGACTGCATGAATTGTCATGACATACAAAAAATCAGATGATCATTGATCAATTACTAAGGTGACCTTGAGAGAATATTGATGTAATGTTGTAATTTTATAGAACAGGATTCTTCTTCAAGTGAATGAGTCTGAGAAACAAGTAATGACATTATATTTAGTCTCTATGGCCGGCCAACTCCTCTGGCCAATGATGTTCCCCTTAGCCATGGAGCTACCTCCATGCCTTAGCCGATTGGTACTATTTATTTAGCCTGCAAAGGAGTCTGGTGGAGACTACATTACATGTATATTGGTGTGGCCTAACAGTTGTATATATTTATTATACAGTCATTCCTGCCGAAATTTCTAGGAAGGATTCTATCTGCAGGAATCTACAATGTCTTGAATTGAATTTCCATGCATGTTATCATTCACACCTGTCCAATTATCAAATTAGAGAGTCTGGTCGGGCTACTGGTACCCAGACATGGGTGACATGGTCTTTGCAGCTTGCACTGGGTAGCTCAATAGCCCGAAAAAATATCCAATCAGAAAACCTTATGACATTGTATATAATGACAGTGTCAGATGGCCTGTGTTCACACATTGAGAACCTTGTCTTGGC